ATTGTATTAACTCATAAACTGAGTTCAATGCTGTCCGAGTTGTCATGGTTAGCTAAACACAATAACAAAAAATACATTACCAAATTTAAATTCCAAAACATACTATGAAAATTTAATCCTATATTAAAACACTACAATTAAAACATATTATTAATATCATTAATTTTTTATAGTGTTCTTTCATTGTATTCTATAAATATTGTGTATATATATATATTCTTTTAAGATTACTCACCCAAGTCCTAGTTATTCACTAATAGGACAATTAATCAAGCCTACATATCTCTCCATTCTATAAACAAAAACAATAACAGAAATGGGGCCATCATCGGCTATCTTGCTTTAAAAAAAAAAAAGAAACAAAACAAAAAAATCACAAATGGGATCACATGAACTATATTGCTTTTAAAAATAAATGTAATAAAGCATATGGTCCCATATACACAATCTCCAAAGCAAACCGATAATAGATATATGACTATCATGGACTATCTTACTTCAAAAAAATAATAGAAAAAAGACTAAAAAAAAAATCATAAATGGGGCCACCATAGACTATCTTACTTTTAAAAATATAAACAACAAAGCATGAGATAATACAAAAAACTCAACCATTTATTGTCTAGCAAAAAGTGTCAAAGTCCCCATTACCCACCAATGGGACAATTTGTCAACCATTCATGTCCCTCCATTCCAAAAACAAAGAAAGTGTATAAATGATAAAGAAAAAAATAAGAAAAAGAAAGAAAGAACATAAAAATTACAAATGGGACTACCATTACTTTAAAAAAATAAGTAACAAAGCATATGAGACAACACAAAATTCATACCCACAAACAAACAAACAAACAAACTCCAAAACATATGAGACAACCATATACCTAGTATTCTTTCTAGTATTCTAGAAAGATTTGGGGATTAAGAGAAAAAAAATGCTACCTCCAACCACATACTAAAAATCCAAAAAAATACCATACAAAAATAATTTAAAAACAAAAACAATCAATATATATAAAAACAAAACAATGTCTCTCTTAGCTACAGTAGAAAGCTATAAAGTAGTATGAGAAGCATAAAATTGACGTCAAATTAACCGGATTTCTTCATCAGCAAGGAGAATTAATTATATGAAAATGAAAATTTTACTTGTAAAAACAGAGGATATCACCAGCCCATATGAAGCCTTTGCTGAGTTACTTTCATGGGTAAGACAAATGAACAAGGCTGTAGCAAACTAGGCTAGCTGTAGCACTTTTAACAAACTACATGAAAAAAATAGTGAACAATACCAGATCCATGAGAACAAACTGGAAACCATCTTTATAATTTAAAAATCTTTTAATTTTCACAAATTGCTTTTTTATTTATAGTTGCTTTAGTCTAAATGGAACTAAAAATAAAAAGAGAATTTTAGCAATTTTCTTTGTGTTTACAGGATTATTTATTTATTTTTTATTTTTTTTTGCATTTCAAATTTGGAAGGCTTTTTGACTAAAACTTCCTAAGAGATAATAAAAAATAAAAAAATTGCACGGATATAAGAAAAAAAAAAATTTGTGTTAAAAAAGTTATTATTGTATAACATTACAAAACCAATTCATTCATATTTAGTTGGGAGCAATAGGATGAATTTCTTCTTGTCAAACAATGTTATAATTTATATTACAAAAGCAGCTCTGTATTATTGTCTCAAAGAAGAAGCCAAAAACAATCAATAGCTCCACCATTTTCCAACACATTCTTTCCCAAAATGTCCACCCCTCTCCCTTCCCCCCCAAAAAAATCCTCTTCATCAAAATCCACACAAAATTTCAATTTTTTTGCTTCCATTACCAAAGAAAACAGAAACAAAAAAAATGTCTCTCTCTCTTTCAAACCTCACAATCTCTCTTCCCGCGTCGTCCCAAAAAACCAATACCAATTCCAACCTCTTATGTCCCATAACCCCCAAATTGTTGAACTCAATGGGTAGTTTTAATAACAGAGGTTGAAGCAAAAAACAAATCAAAAAAAACAAAAAAGAAACACTTTATGATTGTGGACAAAGAAAAAAAGAAAAAGAAACACTTTATGATTTGAACCCAAAAAAAAAAAAAATCAAAAAACAAAATATTTTCACAGTATTAAAGTTGATCTTTCAATACTTTCAACACTTTCAACACTTTTCGCAAGAAGTCAAACTTCTAGAAATATAGATCCACACCCACAAAATGCTCTCTCTCTCTCTCGTATGCAGAATTTTTTTTTTTTTTTTTCATATGCATATTCACTGCGCATTGTATTGGATTAGGCAAACCAATCTATAAATATGCACATTCACTCCCCAAGAGCCATGAACAAGTCTAAAGGTTCAGAAAAAAAGAAAAAGAAAAAAAAAAAGAGTATAGAAAGCAAACCCTTTTCTTCTTGTTTATATCCGAGGAAGCCATTGAACAGAGCTTTGGAGGTTGCACCGGTGGTAGTGGAACAATGGGATCGAGGCGACAACAGGCCGGTGGGGTGTGAGAGAGAAGAGTTTGAAGAAAGCCTCACACAGTATAGAGAGAAAAGAGAGTATATAGAGAGTCAGCAGAACAAAACTCATTCAAAAGAAAAAAAAAAAAAAAAAAAAAAAAAAAAAAAAAAAACACAGGGGAAGGCTTCTGAATGGAAAAAAAAAAAAAAAAAAAAAAAGAGCTCGCAAGGTTGAAAACCCAAAGAGTGTGTGTGTTAGCTGTGTGACTGGTTCAACCGGTTTTTTTTTTCAATGGTCCAGATTAAAGATTCTCATCTAAAGGCTAAAATTCATTTTTATGTATGGTACCCAAATACCACTTTTGGGTACCATAGTTGAACCCTATATATATATATATATATTTATCATTGTGTCTTTACACTATTTACATTAGTTTCAACCCCTTTAATTTTACGAAAAGGAAAATTAGTGTAATTATACTAAAACTGTGAGACTTATTGTATTTTATAAAAACCTAAGGGAGGTCAATGTAATTTATCAAAAACAAAAGTGATCCAATATTTGTTTAAGGAGAAATTGTATATTAGTAGGATAGTGAAAAAATAATTGCACTATAAATGAAATATTTCTTAGTGTAATTCTGACACATAAAAATGATTTTTACCAAACTCAAGAATAACTTTTACTATTCTAACAAAACTTTACACCACCATAAAAATATAAATATTTTTTCACTGTACCTGATTTATAATTGTCTTTATAGAGTGACAATGTGCATAAGAGGTTGGTAGAACAAACCTTCTAAGTCTAGATGAATCGTACCTAGTGTCAAGAGTGTAAGTACGAATATTGTATAAGCATGTGATTTACTGCTATATAATTAAGTTACTTTGCTGTGTGATTACTAGGGTCACAAGTCCTTAAAGTTTAACCCCAAAAGTCATCTTTTTGAGGATATGCATATGGTGAGAGTGCCCACCTGGCGGCGAATTGGGGAAGGGAAGAGACGTGGAATTGTGGGAAGGACCCAACAAGAAGTGGCCAGCCCTTTGTTTTGATTTGCTTGTACGGCAAAAACAGGTACTTCAAATATGTTTTCATTATTTTTATTCCGTTTGTGTTTTTTATAACCACCCTTTTGTGATTATCAAAACGAGTTATGGATTAAAATAACACAACTCAAACTTTTAATTTAGGTGTTGTTTGAGAAGAGCTCATTTGGGTTCTTTTGGCTCTTTAAGCCACAAAAGACAGAATAGGTTATTTGAGTCACAACAAACAAAATATCACATCCAACCCATAATCATTACACTATTCTCTCATAAAAAAAAGTCAAAAAAGCCAAGAAACCAAAAAGTCCTTCCAAAACAAAGCTTTTGAGCCCAGGCTCAAATAGCTAAAAAAGTAAAAAAGCCAAAACACTAACCCACTTCCCAAACGGAGGCTTAATAAACTTTTATTTGATTGCAAATCTATTTAAAAAAAAAATTTTTACTCTGCCAACCAAGCAGTTCGGCCAATAGTAGAATTATTTTCAACCTGATTTATCCTCCAGTGTTGATTATCTTATTGAAATCTGCAAAAATTTTGCTTTCATCCTTTAATCATGAATTTAGCTTTTTAAAACTTATTAGGTGTTTGATGTCTGATACAGAATGCTACTCATGGGTTGAAATCAGAGCAAGGATCCTCTAGAGTGATTTTTTCCTAAAGTTTCCTAAAGTGCTACATTGTGTGGTTGAGATTTACTGGCAAGTCACATCAATTTTTCTGATGTGACTTGCCAGTAAATTTCAACCACACAATATTGCACTCTAGGAAACTTTAGGGAAATTTCACTCTAGAGGATCCTTGGTGTTGAAATCAACCTTAGCGTTTGGTATCATTTTTTTTTTCTTTTTATTTATGTTTCTTGTTTTTGAAAATAACAAAAACAAAAACTGACATTAAATTTTTGTTCAACAAACTGTTTTTGAGAAATTCTTCAGAAAACACACACTTCACATTATTTTCTGAATTTTTGAATGCAAAAACAAAAATAATAAATATTTTCAAACTTCTCACAAAAACACGAAAAGTGGATATAAAAATAAAACCAAAGACATATTACATCAGTAGTCCCTATAATTTATTCTTTGTGTCATTTTAATCCATACACTGTCAACTGCCTTAATTTTGACATTTAATTTTAAATTTTGTATTAATTTGATCCAATTAATAATATCATTACTATTTTTTAAAGAAAATTATCATTAAATTGTTTGAGGTGAACTCACTAAATTAAATAAGTAAATAATTTTGTCCTTAAAAATATGACATGATACGTTTTTTCATATTTTTCATAATAAATTCTAAAGAATTGCAATCAAATTAAACCAAATTGAAACAAAATCATAAATTTAAGATCAAAATCAAGATAAATAAAATTATAAAAACTAAAATGACACAATGATCAAAATACAAAAACTACCGTCATAATTAACCCTCAAATCAAATACCAAACAGAAAGGAGGGAACAAAAACACGAGGGAGAAGAAAAGAGAGATGAGTTGTGAACATACGGTAGAAAAAGTCTGACAACACACGGTCCAATCAATGTTTAATTGTTACAAATGGATGAGAAAGAAGGCAAAACATATTCAATTTGAGGAGAAGAAAACATTTGTGAAAAAGGAACACAAAGCTAAAATAACAAATGGTAAAGAACCTTTCGGTTTACAGCCTCAGACAATTGAAGAGAACAAGTTTCTACATTATCTTGATGGTAATGGGAAAATGGTGTCGGATGTGTCGAACTTTTATACAATCATGAAAAGGGGCACAGATGCATATCGTTGCGCAAGTAACTGCAATACAAAACATAAAATATTTTGTACCAAAGTGGATCATAATCCACAGGACGAAACTGTCCTCGGGAATCCAGAAAGTGATCCAATAGCGCACAACCTCTCTCAAGTAACTAAAGCATAGAAACATTTCTCTTGGACGTTTGGATTTGAAAAGTTGGGTTTCATGACTTCAAACGTTCTCTGCAGCATCTTTTTTGGATGTTTCTTCTGGCTTCCCTCCTGCAACCAACCCGTCAGCTGCTAATCTTTCTTCCAGTGCCCGAGCACCCCTTTCTCTGCAATTTCAGCAAAAAACGATGAGGTCATATTCACGAACTACGTAATTTCCCAAACCTTGACAACTTTGGTATTAAAATGTTATTACAATACCGTTGTTAGTTTCATGCTAGCACTTTACTGGACCTTTTTTTTGGTAAGCACATCTTTTTGGCTTGCATTTAACATGTAAATCTATAGATTATGCACTGCTTTGTTTGAAATAAACTGACATGAAATCCTGTAATGGCCTCTTTGCATAGTACCCTCACATCCTTCTGAATGCGATTATCAATAGTTTCTTCATAATCTTAGGATTTACGAATTATCTGATTTTAGGCAAATTTTGAGAACACGTGCTAGTGGGGCACATCATTCAGTCTTTTTCTTTGGATAATTCCATAGTGTTCCCTAAATAATTTCTGCAACGATTTACTATACGTCATGGACATGTCCATGAAAGGAATTTCAAAAAAACATTTGATGACTCCTAACATTGTGCGATAATTCCACATCTTGTCATTGACTCCATTGCAGTAATGAAGAATCCCTTCAAATGCTGCCAAGACACTAGATGAAAATATGCCCCCAATTGTCAATTATGTTAGTTTTCTTAAATAGAGGGATATTTGGCATTATAACCATAAACCAACAAGATGTAAATGCACTATGCTTACTTGTTAACGAAAAAGAAAACCTAGGAAAAGAAGTTTATTCAGAAAAGACACGAAACACAAGGGCATGAACCAAAAATAAATCTGGTTACTGTTGCATTTTTCTTTTTTCTTTTTATACCTTTTGATTTTTTGCATGCAATATAAAAATGACAACTATTGCTTTGAATACAGGCAATTGTCAAAATGGATTTCTTCCCTTTTTCATGGCCGCCATCAAATCATTTAAGCTTTCACTGTGGAAAGGGTCAGCTATTACGGCTTAACATGATCAACAGGTGCCCCATAAGTTGTCATATCGAAACATATTTGCACGACAAGCTATTAATCTGGATTATTTCTGCATGCAAGATGACTGGCTTCGTAGTAAGCATAGAAACAGGGAATATTACCTCCTCCTAGAAGACTCAATGGAGTCAGAACCAGGCAATGGGGCACTACCACCCAAGGTATAACCCCCGGTCCCATCATTCAAAGTTTCAGATCTTCCACATAGCATCCGATGAAATATTGAAGCAATGGGATCAATGATTGGTCTGTATGCAATCCAGCAAAGAGTTTTTTGTGTGTGAGAGAGAGAGAGAGCAATACGACAGCACCTGCAATGTGTTAAACAAAAATAGCAGCATACACTAATTACCTTAAAAAACCAGGGAAGAATGTGGAAAATGCAAACTCATCACTTGGATCACCCCAGAGTTTTGTTTCTGGATTCTTCTGTAGATATCTAAGGTAGATCCAGCTCATATATGTGCCAAATATTAATGTTGGAAGGTATGTTGCTGACTCAGCTGTAAAGAAGCTTACAACAATGGACAACATTAGCGCAAGTGAAGGAAGCCACTGCATGGAGAGAGAAACAATGTCAAAGATAGGGTGCCGGGGGACATTTTCAACTCACCAAATATCATATTAAATTGTTTTTGAAGATGCCATCTGACCAAAAATTGCCGTAAAAAGATACATACCTTCACTTTTATTCTCAACAAAGACAGCTCTTGATCAGGTATGATTTGCTTAATGCCAACTAAGAATCCAAAGAGGACCCCATGGAAGCCAGAAAGAGGCATGTAACTACCCAAAAAAGAACATTAAGAAAATAAGGATTGACGTGATAGTGCACAAATAGTCATAACAAATGCAAAAAGAAGCACAAGGGTGAATAAGAAACAGATTGGCAAAGATCAGGTGAGTTGTAAAAGAAAACTGGGTAGGTATTGTAGCATGTTATGTAGGTGTAACTTTGAGAGATTCATATTTTTCTTTTCAATTACTTAGTTGTTTCCTACTCCTACATAATTACAGAGAGAGAATGTCAACCCTTTTTTTTGGGAGGTGGAGGGGTCCACTTTCAAAATGGAAAGCCAATTTAACTTGGGCAACATATCAGGCAAGAACTGGTTGGCGAGAGGAAAAAAGAAAAAAGAAAAAAATGAAAGTGAAATCATATTGTATTCTGCAATAAAAAGGAACTCATATTACTTACAGGTAATTTTCCTGCATTGTTATGTAGTACAACGAAATAGCTGTAATGAAAACACATACAGAAGTCAAGAAGTTAACTACAAAGATGAACTTGAAGAATTCCCTAGAACCCCATATGGGTTCAAGCAGCTTCCCAATGAAAAGGAGGCCGATTGTGCTGATGACCACCTGAAAAAATATACATATATATATTGACTGTCAAAACTGCCTAGGAAAGAATATGAAAGCCAACAAGACCATTTATGAGGAAAAAAAGAAATAATTAATTGAAAGTTGCATTTTTACAGAAAAAGAAACACTTACGCCATGGACTGATTGTTCAATGTAACCAGCTGTTATGACATTCCAAACAAAGGGGATTGTCCTGCAAACAAAGATTTAGAAAGGAAGAAAGAAAGGTTCTAAGTCATTCAACTAAAGCTTGTAAACAAAGTATCATGCTTCATAATCACATCTGGTCTCCTGAGGAGGAAAAATAAGAAAGAAAAGTTGCATCTGAAAACATCCAAGCATACAACCACAAAGACAATACTAAGGAAGAAAAAAAAACACGATGACTAATGTCTGGATAAAAAGCATGCTACAGCATGTCAGCCAGATACCATATCTTGGTAAGGCCATACATAGAGTTAATGCAGTTTTCCATAATCTTGGTAAGCTCAAACTTGCTGTACTACCAAAACATTTCTACAAATACATGGAGGCTTCTACTCCAAACAAGACATTTCAAAGATGATGACCCAAGCAGAACCCCCGGTTCTAGATTCGCATGTGTAGTGGGCCTGACCAATTGGAAATTATAGAAAATCTGTCTGGTTCAGTCAGCAGCCATAGTTTGGAGATGGCAAATGTTGAGTTTTTCCCAAAGGAAATCAAACCAAACCAAGCCTTAAGTTCCATCAAATGAGGTCGGCTACATGAATCCTTCTTTTCCAAGCAGCCCTATCAAAGGCCATTTCATTAGTCAAATTAAGTAGATCCATCTCTCTATTTATAACGCTAGTCAACATTAATCTAGGCCTACCCCGTCCTCTAACACTTCCATCTACCGTTACAGCATCGCATCTCTTCACTACTGCCTCTGTTGGTCTTCGTTGAATATGACCAAACCATCTCAATCGATTCTCTCTTAACTTATTTTCTATCGGTGCTACTCCTACCCATTCCCGAATACACTCATTCCTAATTCTGTCTTGTCTAATCTTGTCACACATCCACCTTAGCATCCTCATCTCAGCCACACTCATCTTATCTACATGTTGAGTTTTTCCCAAAGGAAAAAAACTAAAAATTGAATGAAAGTAATCAAGTCACATGTAACTTGTAATGTAAAAAACCACCTAAAACCAATTCAGATAAGGTGTCTACCCAGAGATTGAAGGCATCTTGAAAACTCAGACCAAAAAATAAATATGCACATGAATTTCATCAGACTGTTATATTCTCTGAAATATCACTGACCTGCCTTGGCCTCCCCCTCACAGCCTCCACTCAAATTCAACAAACCACAATCACTGAATCCCAATAACATAACCATTAAAAAATTAGATGAAGTGTATCTTTCTCTTTTAAATGTGAATGGTCTTCACAATCATTGGTTGGATACAAACAATATGAGTATGCTAAGTTTTAATTATAAATATATAAATAAATAATAAATGAGAGGAAGAAAATAGACAATCTGTGTAAATTTGTGATGCTTAACTTGTATCATATCTATATCAAAACTCCCAAAATAAAAATGACCAATACATTGACAATGATTGGATTTGGAAAATGGTTCTTCGCTTGACAAAAAGATTGTTGATCAACCTGCATCATACATATATATAATATGTATGTATATTTGCTGGAAACTGAACTTGCTTTCCATGGATTGCACTCTGTGTGTGTGTGTGTTATGATCAGTACCAACCACTGCAACACACTATAAAATATCTCAATTAAATGTGTATATGCAGGGGGCTATATTGGTGAGACAGTAGTTGCAAGAGATGAGGGGAAGGAATTGAGAAGAACTGTAAAATAATTGTACTCCAAGACGAAAATGAATTGTAAAAGAATTGTTCAGTGGTGGACGCTGTCATCACCCCCTCTCTTTCTCTAGCCTCCTCCAAACCCAACTTTGCAAACACTCATCACCATTGAAGCCACCCAGCAGAACCACCACCAAACCCAACACTACTGTAATCACTGCGACAACCACGCCACTTGTTGGAACCATTGCCACGACCACAACCACCTGCCCAACCACCCACCGCAAACCCCAATGCCCTATCCACCAAATTCAATCACCCTCACCTCCACCATGTAAGAGAGGGAGGGGAAGCAGTGGTAGGTCTAAGAGATGGGGCTGGTAGACTCTGGTTGGGATGGGTTGGAGATTGGAAGAGAGAGAGGAAACAGTGGTGGTTTAGTAGATTGATAGAAAAAGGAGAGAAACGGGAAATAGATATATAAGGGCAAAGTTTTCAAGCATGATTTTTTTGTTTGTCTTGCTTTTCCGTTCAATCAATATACGGTTGATTAGCAGTTGGGTCTAAATGTTACAAAAAAAATTCTAAATAAGGAATGTTGGTGATAGTTTAGAGAATAAAGAGGATTATAATATAAGTACCCAGGGGGTGTCAGGTGTAATTTACCCTAAAATATGTGACAAACAAATGTTAACATTACAGTTAAAGGCAGATGTATGTTTATGTACATAATTACAATTTATCTAAATGTCAAAAACACTAATTGTGCTCAAAAGATTAATGTTCCATACTTCCTCATTCAACTGTGCAATGCCAGTTTCTAATATGCAACTGAAAGTTTCTAGATATTCAATATTTGGTGGGATACTAAAACATTTGAAAGTGAACTAGATGGGATCTAAATGCTAAAGTGCGAGTTGCTTGGTTGCGATTGTAAATAGGACTTTCAACTCCACTTTAGGGAAACAAAGTCTAAGATTCCACCCAGTTCACTCCTCATTGCAATGTGAATTGGTAAGACCATTTTCTAAATATATTTAATTTGATACCAACACTTATAATGATATTTTCTATTTGGAAAAATATACGTATTGTAGGTTATTGACTCGTAAGATACAATTTTGTATGTCCAATTTCATATCGTATAGCGACTCAGCATGTATCGTACAATTAATTGACCTACTCCTTGGCCTTCACCTTTGACTTTGTTGACAACTTTTTTCACTATCAATCACTATGGTCAATATTCATTGAACCACGAACATTTTTCCAAAAAAAAATCCCATAAAAGGAAACCTAAATTGACATAAGCTCACAAGAGAAAAAAAAAAAAAAAAAAAAGAGACTCCAATACTCCCTTTGTTACAACCAGAGTTTACACAACTGCGAACACATTAACTCTATTAAGGCCTCGTTTGGGAACATGTTTTTTTAGTAACTTTTTGGTTAAAATATGATGTTAAAAAAACTAGTATGTTTGGCATGACTTTTTGGTTTTTTACGAAAAGATGTGCAAAAAGTAGAGAGAAAAAGGAATCTTTGATTTTTTGGTATATGTTGTTGACTTTTTTATTTTTTTTAGTGATTTTTTGAGTTTTTGGCTAAAATCACCACTTGTCAAACGATGCCTAAATTACAGGAAATTACACCTCTGGAGACTAAAAATGCCGACTAAAAAAACATTGGGTCACCAAAGGCACACACTTTAGCTACTAATAAAAACTTAAGTCGGCAAAGGTCCACATTTTAGCTACTAAAACAAAATTTAGTCGTGAAAGGTATAATCTATACCTACAAAAAATAATGTAGTCGGTATTTGCTTTATGTTTGGCAACTAATTGAGTTTTAGTTGTTGAAAATAGGGTTTTCGGTGACCAAAAAAATATTTGGCCCCTAAATGTTCAATCTATAGCTACTAAAATTAGTTTAGTCGGGGTATTTATTTTACTTTCGGCTACTAATTGAGTTTTAGTCGTTGAAAGCAAAGTTTTGGACGACAAAACAAAATTTGGTCAACAAAAAGTACAATATTTAGCTCAAAAAAAAAATTTAGTTGCCCTTTAGCTGATTTCTGGTGACTAAATTTTAGTCGGTAATTGTAATTAAAATTTCGGAGGGAGGACTTCAAATTTTTGGAGGGATTCCTAAATTAATTGGCTACAAAAGTATGTTTTAGTTGAAAAAAATTTACAATTCTTTGTTTTTGGCAACAAAAAGAGTTAGTCAGGAAAAAAAAAAATTTAGGTTTTCAAAACGTCAGTGTCTCTCTCTCTCTCTCTCCTCTGCCCTCCTTTCTTCCACGATCTCTCTCACACCGTCGCACCTCCGTCAATCCACCATTATCCCAGTTATGTCCTGTGCTGATTGCTGCACTATTTATACTGTTAAGGTCCAAATCCCACCTCTTTAGACCAATTCTCAATAACCTAGGAAGCACGGATACGGGTACGGATATAGCGATACGGGGATACGGATACGGATACGGATACGGCGATACATCAAAATCTGAAAAAGTATGATGCGGGTACGGCGAGGATATGTTCATAAAAAAAAATATTTTTATAATTTTAATAATGTAATATGCATGAAAATAAAACTTAAAGTACATTAATAAATAAAAATAGGGATTCCTATTAACCTAAAAATCTTCAAACATTCATAAAACATCCAAAACTAAAAGCAAAAGTAAATGCAAATCAAACATCATCCTTACATGCCAACACCAAAAAAAGAATAAAAGCTGAGAGAAGAAACGTGAGAGAGTGAGAAAGCGGGAGAGAAGTGAGAGACAATAAGGAAAACATCAATTTGACAAATTCTATTACTTTAACTCTCACTAAATTCCTCTTATCAAAGAACTAAACAAAATATTATAAATAATATGTAACTTCGAGTATCCGATACTTCAAAATTAAGTATCCAATACTTCAAAATTAATAAAAAATTAATTAAGAAGTATCCGATACGTATCCTCGAGTATCCAAGGAGTATTGGTATCCGATAAATATCCGATACGGATACGTCTCCCTTTTTGAAGTATCCGTGCTTCATAGTCAGTAACCCATCAGAGGAAACATTGAAACCAAAGAAGCAACCCAAATCCGAAAAGCAGGTCATAACTAATAGAAGTTTGTTCCCCATTCTCACAAGTACTCTCATTTCACATTCACAAAAAAATAAAAATAAATAAATAAATCAAAATCAAAATAAATGGAATAATTACAAACGGACAACAAAGAGAAACCAAATTGAACAAGGAAGCCTGCTATTGAGGTCTCTTTCGCACCTTTTGACAAACAGTTCCACCAATTTCTCTACGATCAAGTTGCACACAGATATTAGGAGGAAAAGGTAAGTCTTTTATGCACTTTTTTTTTTTTAAATTTTT